GTGTGTGTGTGTGTGTGTGTGTGTGTGTGTGTGTGTGTGTTTGTATGAACAAGTGGAGTCCAGCAGACAACTTTTTGAAAGTTAATTCTCCTGTCCTGAGGGTCATTCAGGGTCAACCTCGGGCTCCGGGTATGGCAAAAAGTGATTTTCCTAATGAGCCATCTCACATGAGTTTGATAGTTAATTACCAACTAGGCAAAAATTTAAAATACTATTATTGTTATAATCATAACCAATTCCTTATTACTCCTTACTGAGTATTAAATAATGTAACACAGACACTTATATGAAGCAAACTATTTTTTGTGAAATCAATCAGAGATCTTTCAAAAATACATATTTTTTACTGGTTTTTGAAACAGAGTCTACCTATGAAATCAAGGCTGTCTTATTTTTAAATTATTGATGATTATACCGGGAAGTGTTTTAAAAGTGTTCATTATGACATGACGCTTACTCAAAAAGAACATAAACTGCAGAAGGAAAATGAACATAACCTTTCCCTAAAAACTTATTTTTCCCTTATTTTATTTCTTACATTCATTCATTTAGGGTGTTCATTGTAAAATAATTCATAATAAAAACAAGAATTTGTCAAAACTCTCACCTAAAATGTTTACTATTTTTAACCATTTTTTTTTTATCTTCAGAAAACTCTGCAACAAAGGAAAGCAATTGTTGGCTAATTATTTTGCATTGAGTTCTGCATCAATCCTATGCAATCTTTAGTGGAAGAGTGGTTTTTGGTAAGCCCATTTGTCATTTCCAGTGGGCATGCCTTGGCTAAATGAATACCAAAAACATATCTGCTTATCATTGTATTTGTGAAGAAGGTGACATATGTCATCTTCACTGGCCTTTCAGTGGCCATAGCAATTGCTGTTATCAAGTGCATGTATTCATGCTAAGGGCAGAGTGGAACTGCTCTTGGTTTACATCACGCGGCCTGATGGGTCTTCAAACTTCATTTAGCACCACATTTTCAGACCATCGTAACTTTTAAACTTTCCTCACTGCTGACAGTTTAATGTTTATATGAGCAAGGACTTAATTTACTTTCACCTTCTAAACCATAGGACCTGTCTCTTAGAGCTATAAAACTGACATTTCTGCCTCGTGTGTGTGTGTGTGTGTGTGTGTGTGTGTGTGTGTGTGATGTATCTTTCAAACTTGCATGCGGTATGATGTCTAAAACAGCTGTTCTTGTTTATGTTAAAGGCATTTCAAACATTTTGGGGGGGGGGACATTTAGAATACCATTTGTGCAGAAAGGAAAACAAATTAACCTTTTCCTTCTTTTCATCCCTATCATTTTTTCTTTCCTTTTCTGCTTTCTTTTCTAGCAGTCTGGTATTCACCTTTCTCCTTTTCCTTCCTGTTTTCCTACTCACTGAAATACTTCAGCCTAACTTTAGTTGGTGTTTAAACAGTAGTTTAAAGCTGCATCTGCTTTTATTCCCGAGAGCTTTCAAACACATATATCAGAAGTGAAATGCCATATATTTCATGCTTAACCAACTGGAGGTCAAAGAACTAAATCACAGCACTCATGAAAGTAAAATGTTGTGCTTTCCCACTGCCTTCACATTGGGAGCCACTCGCCTCCAATTATGAAAGTGACCTTCAGATCCGAACTGACCACTTTCCAGTGAAATTTATTGCAATTGTCATACTATAATGCAGAATTAGAAATGGCATGGGTAAAATATCTGAAGCCAGTAAAAAGATTTATTCTATCATCGAACGATTTATATTTAATTTTCTGCTTTGTTCACTTCCTTTACTATTTTTTATTCTTGCCTCTGACAATAGGCGATTATAACACTGTAACATTGCTTAAATGTGTAGACATTTAAGAGTTCTTACTGTAGGCTTACATTCATAGGGATCTAAGGGTGACATATAGAATAGTTTTACATATGATACATTAATATTTCATTGTATTAATACGGGAGAAAAGGAATGCATATAAATTCTCAGAGTGAATTAGCAGTGTTCTACAATGCTTATAATGACCATGCCATGCAATCCTTGATAAAATGGAAATTAGTAACAAAATGTGCTATTGGATAACACTTAACTTCTTTCTGTGTAGTCTATTGTTTCTATTTCCAAATAACTAGTATTTCATAAAAGAGAAATGTGTTCCAGAAAAATCCATTAACTGTTTAATTACATAAGAAGGGGCAGAGGTTAAGATTGGATTGTCATTCAAATATGCCCCCTGCTGTGAATTAAAGGTCAGTAGGAGCCTGAAAGTCAGCAACTCTTGTCTACTGTTTCTTTATTTCTTTTTTTATTTATGCAGTAATAAAATGAATCCCACAAATTTAATAGCCACGGACTAAGGTCCAATGAATTTCCTCATTTCCTACTACTCTACTCTTTATTTTCAGATTACCTTTCTATGATTGGTTCATTTAATTAAGGAAACTAAGCCCTGTGATGGGAGACCTGTTCTGGAGACCTTATAAGGACATTTTACATAAAAAAAGGAGACACAATACTGTGTTGAGAAAAATATTGTGAAAGCTCACTTGATTTAATTTTTATTAGTGGTTTTCTAGAAGATGTATTTTGTGTACTCTATGAGCAAATGGAAAGTAAGAAAAAGTTAAAGAGATAGCCTAGAGTGCTATGGGAAGAAATAATTCCAGTATGAATTTTTAAAATTATTTGAGTGGAACAAAATTATGCTTATTGTTAAAACATAAATTTGGTATATATATGGGTTCACTATTTATCGGTATTGTTGTCTTGTTTAGTTATTTTGAAACAAGGTTTCTCTGTGTGCCTTGGCTATCCTGGAATTGTCTTGACTGATGGTTGACCTGGTTGTCCTTGTATTCACAGAGATCTACCTCCCCAGTATTGGGATTAAAGTCTTGGGCCCCCAAGCGTGCCTACAAAGTGTCAGATTTAAAGTCCCTCTTAACCTATCAAATCTTTTCAACTCATTTGGTTATCCACTTTTTATAATTTTGTACCTGTGCAAAACATTTGTTATGTGTTTCAGTGAACAGATAGGAAAAATTAAAACACTAACTCAGTGAAAGATTAAAATGCAAAGCAATGTGTATGAAAGGCCAATACAAATACAAAATTAGTAGGTTTTAATCCAAATCTGGCAGTAATAATATTAAATTTGAATACCGATGCTTTTTTATTCAGTATAAGGGCTATTAGTCTACTAATAACTAAATTTAACTGTATGTTGCTTTAAAAGGCATAGCTAAAACCTAAAGGCAGAAAAAGTTAAACATTATATATGAGAAGCACACATATGGCTAACGATGAATAGTGAGTATATTGCCTTATAACTACAAGAAAATTATAAGACAGAAATTATTAGAGATAAAAATAGGTATGTAGAAAATGCAAATGTTCAAACATTTGGAAATGTTTAAATTTCTCTATTTAAATTTGAATGCATGTAATTACATATCTTCTAGCACAATGGTTCTCAACCTTCCTAACGTTTCTACTCTTTAACAGTTTGTCACATTGTAGGAAACCCCAGTCATAAACTTATTTTTGTTGTTACTACATAACTGTAATTTTTCTATCGTTATGAATTGTAATATAAATATCTGATATGCAGGAAATCTGATATGCCACCCTTGTGAAAGGGCCATTTGATCCAAAGGAGTGGCAAAAATACAGTACATAAACAATCAGGAATATGAACACAAACTTATAAATCTTCTATTTATAAAGCTCATACTCATAGTTGACAGTGGGAGATGTGCAGAAACTTCAGCAAAGGTATAGACTGCTTAAATAGCTGGATTATAATAGGACCTAGTGCATGCTATTATAATTGCTATGACTTCATGCATGCAGCTGCCCTGCCATGTCCAGAAGATGCTGTTTCCTCATAGGTACCCACCACATCTGGCACTACACTTTCTGCTCCCTCTTCTGCTATGAGGACTGAGCCTTGGAGAAGGTGTCTTCTATAGATGTCCCATTTGGTGCTGAGCATGACTGTGGTGTTTTGTTCTCTGTGCATTGGCCAACTGTGGGTCTCTCTGTTGAAATATTAATTTGATTGAACTTCTTAGCTTTGGGGAAATAATAAAAGGCCCAAGATTTGCATAACATTTTCTGCATCAGACACTAGAGCAGACATTTTCAATGAGAAAACACATTCTTCTGGTTGGATTTCTAGTTTAAAATTTAAAGGTAGAAGTATTCTCACCTTCTCTATATCCTATGGATTAAATGAGATGCCACATTTAAGCACCTGTTGCAACAAAGTATCAATAAATGTACATGAAATGCCATATCTTCATACTAGCCTGTTTCACCAAACCTTATTCTAGTATACCCAGATCATATCCTGACCCCGTCCCATTTGGCATTCAGAAGATATGTAGTTTTACTGAGGGTATGATAACAGGAATCTCTCAGTAAACAAGTCACCTGACCTTTTTCTAATATCCATGGAGACCTAGAAAAGAGGAGGCAAAAAAATCACAGACGATTAGATGAAGAATAAGGAGGCCAGCAAAACCCCCACAGCTACTTTATCAACATCATGCTGTTTGCAGTGCTGTTGATCCAAGAGAAAATTGTAGGGTGAGGTGCATAAGAATTCTCTACTCTAGCACATTTGAGTCATTCCCACTGTCTCTAAATATGTA